CTATTCAAGCGTTTACTGTGTCATGTTACAAAGAATACAGTTTTCAGTTTCAATGATCGTCTATACAGACAGACAGACGGATGTGGAATGGGTAACCCTCTCTCTCCTGTCCTTGCTAACATCTTTATGGCTAAATTGGAAGCAGATGTAGTCAGACCATTCAACCCGCCTTTCTACGATAGATACGTAGACGATATTTTCTCAAAAAAAAATAGATGAGCCAGACCGCCTACTTGAAAAGATGAACGAATACCACAAAAACATCAATTTCACAGTCGAAGAGAATCCCGATCATTTCCTCGACACGACTTTTTCGTATGAAAACGACAAATTCAAGCGTCATGTATATCGCAAACCAGGAAAGTACCCCATTCACTGGTCATCACAAGTACCAACTAAATGGAAAAGAAATGCAATTAATGGAGCTCTTCACAGAGCGTATCGTATCTCAACAAATTTCGACACAGATGTAAACACGATCACTAATGHCTTTTTACAAGCTGGATACCCTAAAAGTTTCATCCAATCTACTATAAATAACTTTCTACTCAAACAGGAGGAAGAAGAAGAGCTAATCCCGGACTATCTTTTTGATGAGGATCAACGCAAGAAAATTTTCGTAAAACTACCCTATTGTACGGATAATGAACAGCTCTCTCGCCATTTTCTGAAGAAACTTAATAATCTAACTGATGGAAAGTACATGTTTATCATTCAATGGCAAACTAGAAAGATTAAAAGCCTATTTAAACTCAAGGACAGAAACTCACCAGTCCTCAGTAGTATACAAAGCGGAATGCTCGTGCGGTGAAACATACATCGGAGAAACCATAAGGAATTTCGAAGTTCGCAAGACTGAACATGAAGACCCGTCACACAATTCCCAACCAGCACGCCACATCTCAAGTCATCCGAATCAAGCCTACACCTGGAACATCATTCACAAAGAAAAATCAGAATTCAAACTTAAAATAATAGAAGGACTCATTATCGCACGCGAACAACCGACACTTAACAAACAAGTGAAATKCTTTATTGCAAATCTTTATCCCTCAGGGATATCT